TAGTCTCACATGTGGCAAAACCCAGTCCCTCATTCCAGACATTTCTATGTAGAGGTCAGGTCTGGACTCCTAAAACCTGGCAGAAGTGCTGGCCTGGAGCCTGGCAAGGCACAAGGTGGGCTTCTTTGCTGAGTTTTGCCCATCCCACTGCCTCTCTCACCAGCCTACAGTGTTCTCTGGCCCTTGGAGTGGGGGTGGGGAAGTGTCTTCTGTGGTGGCCTGGTTTTCATCCCGATCTTGTGCTGGGTTCGAAAACTCTGCTTGGTCACCCCTTGTGGGTGTTTCCCTTTCCTTCTGGGTACCTCCAGCTCCTCTCCTTGAAGGTGGAATGCTGCTTCTCCACTATGAAGTAAATTTCTCTTGCCCCTGCCCCAACAGGCTACACTCTGGCCCTGTCCTCCCAGAGTCTTCCCCTCCTCCCATCTTTGGTGCCTGGGGCTTTAGGCTTGAGGTCTAGTCTTTGAGCAGTGCCCCTGTGCACCCTGATACTTCCTGTTGTTTGGCTTAGGGTGAGGGGCCACCTACCTCCCTGCAGTGCTGGAGGACAGTTCCACCTCTGGGGTCTTTTCCCTTCACTGAATACACAGATCCTAGGAGGGCATTGGCTAAAGCTGCAGAGACTGCTTCCAGACACCTCTTTGCAGAGTGGTCTCATACTTGCTCTGGAATGTGTGATTGATTCTAGGTAGCTGTTACTTCTAGGTGGCTGTCTTTAGCCTCTGGACTCTCAGATGAAACTACTGGAGTTGGGTGCCCTTTTGCACACATAACAGTGCCCTTTGCCTCTATGACTGGGACACAGACAGGTCGAGTATGGGTGATCAGGGGAACCCAAACACCAGAGGGCCTGTGTACTCACACCACCATTTCATCCAGAGCCCTTGGGGGAGGGGCTTCTCGGTGCCATTTATACATGTGGCATTGCTGTTCCAGGGACTGGCTGAAACTGACACTGAGGGACAGGCAGGAGGAAGGTGGACTTTCTTGCCTTCTATCCATAGCAGATAGGTGAGCCCACGAAGGAGAGAGAGCTTTGCACTGTCAGAAATGGTGTGGTTGTGGGTCTGCAAAGTCCCCATCTGGTGAGGAGGTGGGAAGTGCTATTCTCTGGCTGGTCAGAGCCCAGGATGCTGCCTGGCTGTGTATCTGCACTAACGTCAGTCATCTTCTGGCTCCAAACTGCTGCCAGTGAGCTGACCTCTCCCTCCCGTTTCCTCTTGGGAGAACAGGCTGTGCCTCTCTAAAAGCCTCCTGCCTTGTCTTTTCACATACCCAGCACGTGGTTCGAGTAAGACTTGGCTTGGGGACTAGGGAGATGACTCAGTGAGTAAAGCAGTTGCTGTGAAAACGAGAGAACATGAGTTCAAGCCCCCAGTCCCCATGTAAAAGCTAAGCAAGGCAGCATATGTGTATAACCCCAGTGCTGTGCATTGGAGACAGGCTGACTAACAAAACAGTGAGCTTCAGTTAGAGGAAGACACTCAACAGCCTCCCCTGACCTCTTCATACATAACATATATACACCATACAGTATCATGTATGCATATGTGTGCACACATACAGACTTAGATGTGAGTGCTGGGGTGACGTTTGGGAGAGGCAATTGGTGCCGTGGGTCATAAACACTGTGGGAAAAGGGTTGCTTCACACTGCTCAGCCTGACTTTCCACACCAGAACTCTGTGGGGATTTGGCCCTAAGACCAGGGGTGAAGAAGGATGAGCCTTGTTTTCCTCAGCCTGATTTTTCCACCCTACTCCAGATGTGTGGGAGGTGTGGTTGGCATCTGCACCACAGCTGGGGCATTTTCTTCACGGTGTCCAGCTTCCACTCTTACCCCAACAGCTATAGGAGATGGGAACAAGTTAAGAATTCACATTCAGTGCCTATCTCCCAGTTCACTCAGTACCTTGTGGTGAACTTGTACCTCTGTTGAGGCATTACTTGCTCTTTTGTAAAGTGGGAATGCTGACCCCTCCCTCTCCACTATATGAAAAAAGCAACCAGTCCACTTCTAAGCCAACTGTAACTTTCACGAAACTTTAACTTGTAGAAATATTCCCATGGTGGTTAAGGACTGCTGGGTGTATAGCAAATTCTGATTGGTTCTGATTTCTTCTGACTGGGTTTTTTTTTTTTTTTCTCCCTCCAACCCTCTATGAAAAGTCCTCTGCACTTCTAGTTTTGGTTCGTTGCTTTGTGCTGTGAGTACAAAGAATAACCATAAGCTGTTCTTGGCTCTTCAGCTGCTTCTTCTTTTGAAGCCCTGCATCTCTCTTACTGCCCTTTTCATCAAAGATACTACCAAGAACTGGGACCAAGGGAATAAGCCACTGTTCTTTAAGTCTTGAGTCAATTTTTATTTCTGTCCGAAGAGCAGAAGTAGATATCCCGTGTCTTATCAACATGCCTTTTTTTTTTTTTTCCATCTTTGCAAACCCAAGAGGCCACATGTGCTGTCTTATCCTTTGTTAAGGGTGCCTCCCTTATTCTTATTGGAGTTGCTAGTTGTGTTTCTTTTTTTTTTTTAATTTATCGTCCAGTTGTGCTATTTAAGTTGGTCATAAACTTTATCATGCTTTACACCACCGTGCTTACACCCTTCTGAATCTCAGTTTGGGTATGACATCAATATTACTTCTGTATTTGTAAGAAGTATACATAGTACTATATTGCACCAAGGCTTCTGTTGTTTGCTATCAGTCTTGGTCATTCTTACCCTTGATTTCTTGCCCTCTTTGGTTTAAGAGCGCCTATCATGCCTAGGATTGTCCTCCCCAGTCTGTTTTACAAGGAGACAGCTCTGGCAGGCATTGTGGGAGCCTGTTGCAGTAGTGTGTGGGGGGGAGATGTCTCCTGCACTAGTCTTTGAGAAGGTTCGGTCTGGGTGAAAGGTTCAGGCATTATGCTGGCCTGCCCCTGTTACCTGGCAGAACAGGCAGTACTCTGGTCAGTCCAGGGTTCCATGGGAACTAAGTCTGCACACAGGTGCAGAGAACCCCTTTAAAAGATAGATCCCTGCCCATTTACGCTCTCTCTACTCTTCTCTCTGCTTCTGCTCTTCTCTCCTCTCTGTCTCTTTACACTCTCTCTGCCTCTCTGTGGTTACCAGCCATGGCAGTCAGCCATTAACCATGTTTCTCTTCTCTCTTAATCTTCCTACTCTGCCGGGCATATAATAAACTGATTAATATGTCTAATGTCTCTGAGTCTTAATGTCTCATTTACCTCTTTTCTTCTTTATTTCTAATTTAAGCAAAAATTTTAGCACTGGGGGTTAGAGCAGCTTTGGCCAGGGAAAGGCTGGGAAAGAAAGGGAAGGCCTGAGCCACAGTTGAATACACCAGAACAGTTCCCAGCATCTTCTCATGTTAGCTGCCTGGCCTTTGAGGAGCTTCTTAGGTGCCTGAGACTTAGCTGGGAATAGAGGCTTTGCAGCAGAGAGCTACACTGGCCAGGGGTCCCCCCGCATGGACTCCTTGTGTGTGCTAGATGCTATATATCCTGCTTTTACTAACAAAAGCCCCAGGAAGGCGTTCTAGAACAGCAGCACACAGTGTGGGTGCATCCACATAGCACTTAATGGCTTTTATTGCAGATTTGTGTCATTACAAGGATAGTCTGGGAATATATTAAAAAAAAAAAGACAAAAACCCCTCCCTTTTATACATAAACAGAACATGCTACATGGTACACTGGGAGAAATGCTGAGGTAATAGGCATGCACCCAGATGTGGACAGTACCAAATGGCTCACAGCTCACACGCCTAGCATATGTACCCACCGGGAGGGTCTCACTTTCTTGACACATCTGTTGCTCCTGGCATGGCAGTCATGTGCTAACTCTAAGCCCAGCAGGACTCAAGAAGCCACCATGCTGCAGTACACAGCAGTCCTGAGCTCATTGCAGCTCAAGGAAAGTAGTTAGGTTTTCCTTGTGTGGCCTCGTCTTCTGGGGAGGTGTAGCTTGGGGACAGGGTGTAGATTGTTCCTTGTGAGCATGGGACTTCAAATCTGCAGCGGTCTGGGAGTCACAACATGTTGGCAGTGACTTCTCTCCAATGGAGTGTCTCTGGCATGGCAGGGTACTGTTAATGTGGAAGCTAAAGTAATGTGGAGGCTAAAGTATGAACGGAAGGTGCAAAACTGAATACAAGTCTATGTGGCTGCCACTGTGGCTCTCGGCCTGGCCTTCCCTTTCCTAGCCGGAACCTGAGCCCAGACTATTTCCTCCCCAAAGGCCAATGAATTGTGCCAAAAATAAAAGTCTGTGTGGCAAAAGAGGAGAGGCTAGGGGAAAGGGAGAAGAGGACCCCTGACTTCCAGTGAGCAGCCAGAGACTAAGGCACAGAAAGAAAGGTACAGGCCGAGGGGGTAATTGGATGGAGGGATGCTGAGCCATCTGGAGAAGGAGAAAATACACAGTGGAAGGGGAGTGGTTGATCCGGTGCCCAGAGAGGTTCCCAGGGGAGAAGGCCAGGAACCCTTACATGAGAGGTGAGCTTGCTGGCATTCCAGAAAGAATCCAGGCAATGCCAAGGACTACATTTTGAAATCAGGGCTACATGGCCTGTTGTGTCCATAGATTCAAGTAGAGGGCAATGAGGGAAAGCATTCTCCTAAAGGCAAAGCTATGGTGCTGGCATCAGCATTTGAACACTGAGTATGGAAAAGTTACGTGTGTGTGGCAACCTCATATGTGTATCTAGACATAGCACGTGTGATGTGTGTCTTAAGAGCACACACACGTGGTGGCTCACACGCATGTCTGAGGGTATTGGCAGTTGTGTTTTATTGGAGGGACTTAATTAAAAAGTCTGCAGTTCTACCCTTCCTGGGAATATGAGGGGCCGTCTAGTGTGAAAGGAAGCAGGAGGGACAGAGAACACTGCTCATTTCCATCTCTGACAGTGATTTGGAAAGCAGGGTCCAACACCTCGTCCTCCCAGCCTGAGAAGAGCTGGTGAGGAGCTGTGCTGAGGTCTGCACGGCTGGGACGGCTTCAATGTCTTCCGGTAATGGCCAGGAGTGGCTGGGAAGGGGGCAAGCTTAGTGGAAAGTGTTGGGGTTTGGCCGGATCATCATCACCACTTTCTTGAGCGAGTAAGATCCTCCTCGGAACTCAGCCCAGTAGACCCCATCCTGGTACCGGCTCCGGTAATGGCCCCCTCGATACCAGACCCCATTGAGGTTGGAGTGAGCACAGGCATTATACCACCATCCTCACTTGGCATAGTGGGCACAGTTTCCTGTAGGAGAGAAGGCATGCGTGAGGTGTGTTTAGGAGGAGGTGGTTTTACCCCATCCATGGTGTGCTCAGTGTCTTCTTTGGAACCCTGAACAACTTAGCTTTATAACAAGCTGATGGTGGGATTGCAGATAGGTGGCTTCGCCTTCCCCAGACACTGTGTTCTTATCTGTAAAAGGACAAAAGTAATGCCCACCACACAGGACTGCTGTAAGAATAAGTGAGGGCCATGTTTAGCCCTTGGCCTGGGTTCCACACAGAGGTGGCCCTAGACAAAGTGGAAGTGGCTGGCTGTGAGCTGGGAAGAGGGAAAACAGTTCTTTCTAACAATTTTTAAGAGTTGAAAGGTCTGGATGAGTCTTTTGAGAATGACAGGAAGTGTTTAAGATGGAATGCCTCTCTTGTCCTCCCCAGACTGAATTTCATCCAGCTCCCTTTTTGTGTTATTTCATAAATGGGGATATTTCCATGAAACCCTTGGCATTATCGTATCGCCTGCATTGTGCTGCCAAGGACAAGCAGTTCAATAATAAGAAGCTGGGCAAGGTGTAAGCAGGCATGTAGGGGCGTGGCACCCCTCAGAAGGGAGGACAAGAAGAGCCTAGTCTCCTGGGCTTGGCTGGGGATTGGGACTAAGAGGGGACCCCTTCCTCAGGGAGAGGCTGTCTCCAGCAGAGGTCATCGGAGGAGATCACATGCAGCTTGAGGCTGAAGCTAGGGGCCTCAGCCCCAGCCTTACCGTATTTCTAGAGTTTTTTTTTTTTTTTGGGGGGGGGGGATTCTGCTGAGTCATGTCTTAATACCACCAGGACCAAGTAGTAGTCCTGGGCAAACAGGGAGAGCCCTTGGCAGCCTCCCTCCCCACACCCTGGCCCTAGCCCTGTATGCCCCAGGACAGTTTCCTTACTCCCTGAGCTAGCTCTCAAGTATGTACTGCAGTTCCATGTCTCAGCATCAGACAGATGAAGGCTGTCCTTCCACCAAGACAGCCACACTAGAGAGGACTCACTACAGAGCAATGGCTGCTTCCTGGGGCCCTTCCAGCAGTTAGCTCGGTGCCAGAGCAGACAATTGTGTCTCTGTGGTATGAGGACAGGCAGATCCTGTCCCACCTGATCCCTGAGGTTGTGAGAACTATCTCTAGTGTGGTTGCCTTGGGGACCTGACAGTGTTTAAGGACCAGGGATTGTTCGAAGCACACTCTGTCTCTGAGGCAGTCCCCAGAGCTCACTCCTTAGAGACAATGTCTACCTTCAGATCTTAACTTAGTGGGAGGCTATGCAGGTTGGCCCGGTTTTCCTGGGACGCAGAGACTCAGCCTCCAGAGCCTCAAACCTTGCTAACTAGGGCCTCTGGGCCCTGTGAGATGTTTGATCCTGGGGGTTGGCTCAGAGCCATTAGTGGAGTGGAGGACATGGTTGTGGGATGTTTACCCTTAGGGTCAAGCTGTACCTTTGTATCTTGGAATTTTCTTTATTCTCCTTTGTTTCTCGTTTAATCAAGACTTGGGTTTAAGGATGTAATCAGGGACAAATGGCTTCTCCACTAGCTGGTTTCCTCTTAGTGGCTTTCTTAACACGCTGTATTCACATTACATGTAGCCAGCAAGAGACACTGAGGAGGGTCCTCAGTGCCCACTGCATCCTGACCAGAGCACCTGAACATTCCCTGACCTTCCAGGAGACACTGTCCTTACTTCCAGATTCAAGATTATGCAGCATGCTTAGGATCCATGACTGAGGTGATGGGGCCAGCATTGGAGTGTGGAGTGTATAGCCCAGACTCTGTGGACTGTCAATGTGTGTTCTCAGACAGAATTGAGAAGGGCAGAGCCTGGAGCATGAGTGCCTTGGCCCAGGGCAGCCCTCGGCTGTGAGATCTGTTCACTTCTGCCTTCCCTTTTCATAAGTGCCACTTGTCTGAGGGCAGTGGGCAGAAGGGGACTTTAAGAAGCAATGTCAGGCAGCTTGGTACAGCTGTCTGTCACATAGCATCTTCTTGTTCCAGGCTCTGGAATCAGGGGCTCTACAATTGGTAGATCTCTCATCCCCTTTCAGCACCTAGGTTTGACTCTACTTTTCCTACCTGTGTATACGTCATGGTCCCTGTCCAGAGTGGTGAACTGTTTGCCGTTGTGCCAGGTAAAGGAGTCGCCTGCGTTGCCATGATATCGCCCCAGCCGCAGCTTATAGTACTCATTCTCTGGTTCCAGGCGGAAGCTAGCATATTCTGCAAAGACCTTGCGGCCAGACCAGTCCTCCATGGTTACGAGAAGTTTGTAGTTGCCTTGGTTTGTCAGCCAGTAGATGTTTTCCAGGCCCAGCCAATATTCACCGTCGATGTTCCCAAACCCTTGCTGAGGAAGACCCAGGAGAGCATGAGTGAGGAACCTGTGTCCCAGAAATAGTCAGTACATAAGGCAGGCTTGGGCTCCAATCCCTGCTACCTGTGTATCAGACTTTGTGACTGGGTGAGTCACTGAGCCTTTGTAACCATCAATCGTGTACCGTTTACACATCTGAAGAGCCCACCTTTTCTCTTCCTTCATGTGAGCCTGTTTCTGTCCTTACCTGAGGATACTGTAACTTCTCAAAGACAAGATGATGTGGTTACTTACAAGCCTGGCACCCAGAAGGCATGCAGCCAGCATTGCTCAGACAAGAGCCCTCACCCCCCTCCCTGCTCCCAAGCCTCAGTTGCCTTCTCTGGAGATGGACTGTGTGTGTGTGTTGTTTGTAAGCATCCGCATCAGACAGACACTGGTGAGAGCTGTGACAGGCATGCTACATCCACCTGGGTCCTTCTAGGTTTGAAACTCTGGATATGTGGTTTGGGGCATCAGCCGAGCAGTGGCCCCCTAAGTCTTCCTAAGTGATTCCCAGAGCCAAGCACTATCATCAGCTTCCCTAGGATGGGTAACCACTTGCTGTGTTGTACCATCTCCTTGAGAGAATGGAGGAGTACAAAGAGGACCTTGAGGCTCCGCTTTAGAGGAGGGAAGCAGGAGATACACAGGCTGCCCAGGGAGAGTCAGGATGGAGGAGACTGGATGAGCCAGCAGGACTACATGCAGAGGCATCAGAGCTGATGGGGAGTTGCAGCTTTGGCCTTGAGGCCTTGCTGCAATTGCTGCTGTACCGTGCTGTGGCTGTGTGCAGGAGACTTACAAGGAGAAGCACTTAGTATCCTGGGAACTGGGGAACCCAGAGAATGGACCTTGCAGTTGGGGCCCAGTTATTGTCAAAGTTGCCTACACACACCTTTTGGGGGGAGCTTCCCAGGACCCGGAGCCCTGGGACCTGCCCTTTCAGGCCTCTAAGAGCAGGTTCACCTTGTGGAGGCCCTGGCTAAGAGTAAGAGGCTGTCTCTACTCCATCCTTTCCTGAACAGCAGGCAAGCAGGGGCCTGGCCATACCACTCTGATGGATTTGCAGAAATGGTCCTGTATTTGCCCTTCTGGACTGGGGGTGGACCAGTCACCTTGCAGACAATGCATACAGACCCACTGGTCTCACCTTATAGGTCTCCCAGTTCCTGAAGAAGTTGACAGAGCCATCTAGGCGTCTCTGGATGACCGTCCAACCCCCTGGGTCATGTCTCTGGTCGCACCACACTTGCATGAGGCGGTTGGTGTTCTCGGGCTTCACCAGGTAGATAGAGCTGGTGTCGTGGCCATCCTCCAGGGCCTGCAGGCAATCTCTCCATGGGCCTGTAGACACAAATATATATGTTATATAACTCTTGCTACCAGACTACACCCTAGCTGTACTCCAAACAGATATAACCTCCAACAGAGAGCTAAGGAACACAATTTAAAGGGGCAGGTTTTTGTTTTCTAAGTTTGAGAAGTCATGCACATGACTTCCATAGCACTATGGAAGCAAGAGCCCTGGCTGAGAGTCAGAAGGTCTGGGGTCCAAGCCTTACTTCTGTGCTCTCCCTCACATGTGACCTATGAGAAAGGTATTTCATGTCTTCTGCCCTTGGTTTCTCTTGTTTGCAGATGAGAGTCATATTTTTCTTACCCAGAGCTGTTAAGATTACAAAAGTCATTTGGGCAGATATTCTTAGAGCGATTTTTAAAGAAGTCCTTTCCTTTGGTGCAGTGAGATGTGTGCCTAATATGCATGGTCACAGGCATCGGTGCTGTATGGGCTTGATGCTCTGCTTTGCCAAACTGGTTCATGGCTCTCTTCAGCAGGCAACACCCTTTTGGTTCTTTCTAAGAGCCTGGATAGCTGCTGTGAATCTGCCAGGCCTTGACCATGGCTCTTTCCCTCCTCAAATGGTGTCACATTAGAAGATACAGGCTTGAGTGGTCAAGATCCAGTCAAGCTGGGGTCTCCCTCAGTGATGAAATTTCTGGAGGTTTTCAAGGCCTACCTGCTAGACTGCATAGTTTAAGATATCATCACATTTTGTGTGCGTTTTTCAGAATGTCCTCCAGACTGCGAATGGTTAAGGTGAAATGTGCCAGGACAACTGATTTGCTTACTGCTTTGTGTGTTCATTCCACAACTATTCAATCAGTCACTACAGTGGTACACATCTGTCATTCTAGTACTTGGAGGGTGGTGGTAGAGGATCAGAAGTTCAAGTTCAGCCTCTGCCACAAAGTGAGTTCTAGGCCAGCCTAGGTAATCAGATCCTGTCTCAGAAAACAAAAAATCCCAAATAAAGAAATAAAACCAGCTATTGAGTCACAGCCCCCTTAGGGGCTACTGTGGGCCTTGAGAACCAGGGCAGGGCAGGCCTTCTCTGGTGGCCAGCTTCACCAGCACTCTTAGCTATAGTTCCTGAGATCCTGACTTTCTCTGTCCTTGAGTGGGGAGGGAGCTGGCATTTGGGTTCACCTAGTCCACTCTGATGACTAAAGCTTGGATTTAGGTCCCCTCCTAGGCCTTATAGCACCCCACTGAGCCCTTGATTTGAAACAGGAAGTGGCATCAGGGAATAGTCTTTGTCA